ACAGGATATACATTGTTAGGGAATAAAACGATTAGGTGTACTACAACTGGCAAATATGATTCTGAGCCTCCACAATGCAACGGTAAGTTATTGTGCTGTATTTCAGGCTTCACAGAATATTGGTTAGCTGAGACAATATACAAACAGTTTGCAAATACATTTGTGAATAACTTAAATCGTCTTTCAACCACTTGTAAAATAGCACATTGTCCAGGCTACATTAAAGCCACAATCTTACTTTTATTCATGCATTGAAATTGTAAAAGAGGAGAAATTAGAATCTTATATTGCAATATTTAAAAAAAAATGTGCCACAATAATAAAACGATACTGGAAATTGCAAATCAGTGTATAAACAATACCAGCAAAATCCCAGCATTGTTTATTATATAAAAAAGTTATCAACTCTTACTTACTATTATTAACTATTATTATCAACTATAAGAGGATGAATTAGAATCCTTCATTACATACAAAAATGGGTTACAATAATAAAACAATGGTGTAATTTGTGTTTGTGTTGTATAAAAGACACCATTTTAAGCCTTTCCTAGTTTGTTTACTTGCAGCCTACACAAATGGTTAAATCGTGGCAGTACAGAATAATGTTCATTCCCCTGAAATCCTTAGTTTGGCTTGTAATATCTCCTGGGTTTTCTGTTGTTGCTTTTTTTTTTTACAAGCATTAAAGGTGTGTCACAAGACCATCTCTGTTGGCTTTTTCCTATTGCATGCAATTGCATAACTAATATGAAATCTTAATTTAGTTTGTCTTTAAGCTGAAGAAAGTGTACCGGTACAGATTTTACAGCAGAATCTTCTGTAGGATCACCATATAAACCTAGTACAATAACCTGGCTTTTATGTATAAGCGCTAAAGGATGAGACCATTCTTTTCTATTTGCCCTTTTATACCTGTGCTTATCCACTGTGGGTTCTTTACTATCTGAATCATCCATTCACTCCTAAACCACTTCAGAGTACCTTACCTAAAATGTACTTAACACTAAACTGTTGATCTCTTGTCAAAATGTGTCTTGCTAACATATCATCTAAGGGAAGTATAGCAGTTTTAAGTGAGAGATTGCCACATAAATAGATATGTCATGTGAATTAAACTGCATGCTACATGCTGCATAACTGTCAGTTGTAAATAAGGCACTGGGTGCCTTTAAAACTCAACTTAAAACCCACCTGTTTAGACTTGCTTATGGTTAAACTAGGGTTAGAGTCCCAGTTAAACGACGTTTAACTAAAGTCCTATGGGGTTTAGAGTCCCAGTTGATGGCATTTCAACTAAAAACCTAGAGGTTGGAGTCCTTGTCAAACGGCGTTTTTGACTAAAGTCCCAGAGGGTTAGAATCCCAGTTAAACGCCGTTTAACTGAAGTCCTAAAAGGGGTGCGGGTTTTTATCTTTTTTAATCTTTTTTTTTTTCAAAATCTCTTTCTCTTTCCTACTGTTTATTCAATGTCACATGCTGTTTTTTTAATTATGTAAAGCACTTTGAAATGCCTTGCTGCTGAAATGTGCTATACAAATAAAATTTGATTGATTGACTGACTGACTGACTGATTGATTGATAAAATCTGCTGTACATGTCAAATAGCTTCGTGCTCCAGATCTAGTCTGTATCAGAGTGCAGAAGATATTTATTCAGGATGATCTCAGCAGACTTCTTTATTCATAGAAGTGACCAAAGAAAGGAAATTTACAACAAAAATTATTTCATTTCCTCCAGCAACAAAAGAACAAGGAATAGAATATGTAAGAAAAATATTTTTGGCCTAGTTTCATATTCATATTTTGTACTTTGTGACACATTCACAAAAGGATAATATGTATTTCTATAAAGTTCTATGAAAAAGTATTTGCCCTCTTTTATAGATTTCTTTACAGTACCTAAATATTTAGGAAAATCAAATCCCTTTTAAAATCAGACATAGACAAAAAGGTAAACATATTTTTTTTTCTTACCATGATGATTTTATTTATTAAGAAAAAACTGTCTGGAGCAGCCTTGCCCTATGGGAGAAAGTAATTGCTTGCCTTGTGAAATACCATATAACATTATTTTAAATGTCACTCATTGAAGCCCCCCGCCTGATTACTGCCAAGACCTGTAAAATCAAGAAATCAGTAAAAAGAAACTGCCTGACAACATGAAGTAGGCTAAAAAGACTTAGGTGAAAACATTTTGAACCTGAAACTACAATGTTCTCTTTCTAATTTTTGCAGTTGTTACTTGTTCCAAACCAGCCAAAGTGGAAAATGGTGAACATTCTTGGAGTAGTGACGATAAACCAGAATATCTACAAAAGATAAATTTCTCATGTAACACAGGATATACATTGATTGGGAGTGTAACCATGACGTGTACTGCAACTGGCGAATATGATTATGGGCCACCACAATGCATCGGTAAGTTATTGTGCTTTATTTCAGGCTTCACAGAAGATTGGTTAGCTGAGACAATATACAAACAGTTTGCAAATACATTTGTGAATAACTTAAATCGTCTTTCAACCACTTATAAAATAGCACATTGTCCAGTCTACATTAAAGCAACAATCTTACTTTTATTCGTGCATTAAAATTGTAAAAGAGGAGAAATTAGAATCTTATATTGCAATATTTTAAAAAATGTGCCATAATAAGAAAACTATACTGGGATTTGTTGTTGCATACAAAAATAAATCCCTATTGCAAATCAGTGTATAAACAATACCAGCAAAATCCCAGCATTGTTTATTATATAATAGAGTTATCAACTATTTCAGAGGCTTTCAGGCTCCAGTTGAGCACAATGAGAGCCACTTACATCAAATGGAGAAAACATAGAATGTGGTGAAGGTTCTCAGAAGTAGCGAGCTGACAATTTTGCATACACAAGGAAAAAAAAACTGTGAAATATTTGTGTGGCTGATAAAATGTTCTCTCCACCAACCACTGTGGCCAGTGGAGAACATTTTAAATTTTCATTCCTGAATCTTCAAAAATGAGTCCTCATAGAGGGATTATAGAGATGCTGATACAGACCAACCTGCTCTGCAACAGCACCGTACGGTCTGAGTGGAAAATGGTGTGTGTGCAGAGTCATCCTCATAAAAATTTGAAGGTCCACAACTTGGAGCCACAACAGTGCTCAAGGCAAATGCGTATTGGACACCCAATTCAAATCATCAACAACAAAACCTAGCTTAAGAGAGATCTAAAAGTAGAGGAGCGATCACATAGGAACGGAAATGGCTGACGTGATCTGATGTTATTTAGATAGGTTGACAAAATTAATAACATTAACTACAAAAATCTACAATTACTACATGAGTCTTCATGAAGGGGCTGGCACTCTTTTTGGTGGACAGAGCACCTCCCTTTGATAATGGTAGATAAAATGCTGCTCAATTACAAGATTTTTATTTCCTCCTAGCTTATTGTCCCATGCCTGAAGGTGGAAAGAACATGGTTCTCACTGATGAATCCCTCCTAAGAAAGGATTTCCCAGATGGTACTAAGCTCACTTATAAGTGCAACAACGGATATGAAAAAGAAAGTGGATCTGAGATCATAACCTGCATTGGTGGGAATTGGACTGAGCCCGATCTAATCTGCAAGGGTGAGTCCTGATGTTGCACACACACATGAAAAAAAGTGGCTTGTAAAATGTTCTTCAGACATGACTCCTCAGAGAGGGGTCATAAAAATGCTGGTACAGACCAACCTGCTCTGCAACAGC